AGCGTGACGTCACCCATCAACATGGCGGACTGGAACAGAGGTACTGCTTTTCGACACGTATTCACTTCTATATTCAGCCGTTAACCGTCTCTAGCATCACAAAGCTAACGTTAAAGCAGTTTGACGGGGTATAGAACCTAAATGACGAAGCAGGTCGGCGGTTGTGTATCATCTCTGGGTCCGTAGTTACTTCACTTAGAGCCGAAAACAGGCCTGCTAAAACAGCTTTGCTAGCTGAGGAGTTAGCTGCTAAAGTACTTATAGGTTAGCTGTGCTAACTTTACAAAGGTCTGGGCGACGATGAACAGAAAGGTTTATCGGTCCAAAAAATCATAACATTAATTATACGGTTTACAAGGAAGAACTCTTGTGTTAATCACTGACCGAGAAAGCTGGTTTGTTTACTGCAAATTGCTGAATGGAAATACATGGTCTATGCTGGTCAATACACGAGACAATATATTTTTCTTGTCAAGATAAGTCTAAACTGTTTATAGTGAAGTATTTGTCTCTTTACATCTATGGATGTTTCAGCAAGACTGGAAATCAGTAAGCAGAACCGATTTAGTATTAGTTAGCATCAGGGGAGTCCTTAACATTTTCATGACAGATGTTACTTGGTAAACCGTTATTAGGGTTACTGTTAGGTTGTGAAAGACTGCCTTTAGATGGACGCCTCGTTATGTTTTAGAATGGTGGAGCAAACTTGGAGAGGTACATTAATATATGTTAATTAAAAAAAAGACTGTAATTTAAAACAGTTTTCTGGGTTTTTACACAACCTTACCTCTTGGATTAAGTCAAGATTGGTTATACTGGGTGTAACAGGACAGGAAATTATTACGTCTGATGTTCAGACTTTGTCCTGTGTGCACAGAAAGCCTGTTTAACATATATAATTATATTTCTTCATGACGGAGTGGCTCTGAGGCGTCTTCTTGTTTAATTATGTTAACCAAAAATGTAAAATTATACTACTAGATTTTAGTATTGAGGTGCAATTACATTCACGCTTCATTCCTTCCCTCCATCCTCTTCTGACGAACATACTTAATTTAATTCAAATGTTATTTCTGGAAATATATTAATCTTTGCGGTGCAAAGTTTGTTACACTCTAAGATGGATAACGACCGTTAATGTAGGCTAACGCTAATTAACGGTTAAAATAACACCTATACAGCGGAATGATACATGTAGTCAAAAGTCCCACAGTGAGTACCCAGCACTCATGGACTGCCTCTTGTCCACTCAAATTACTAGCTAACTGTTGTGTAAATTACACGGATTTTTGGACATTTCTCACTTTCCCCCGGTGGTCTGAATAACTCGCTGCTGCTCTGTCTTGTCTGTCTGTGCGCTGTCAGTGTCCTCTTATCGCGCCGCGACGCTATCAGTTATGAACTATTTTTCCTGATCCGCCGAATTATCCAACTGTATTTATGAAATAGGCAGATACAAGGGTGGGGCGAGACCGTGTCTGGTAACCAAGGCAACACAACTTAGCAAATACACATTAATTGTAAGCTAACTTAGAAATTTACTTTTGAATACTTAGCACGGTGCTGAACGATGACTGACTGACAAAGTGCTTTTCGCGCCATCTCCAGCGGTTCAGAGCTAACGTTAAAGCAGATTGACGGACTGTAAAAAATGACGAAGCGGGTTTTTCATGTCTGAATCCATAGTTACTTCACCATTTAACTGTCTCCATTTGAAGTAGCCAGATACCACAAGTTAGGGGCGTCAACATGTCTAGTTAACCAAGGCAACACAACTTATTAAATGCACATAAAATGTAAGCTAGCTCAGAAATTAAATTTTGAAAACTTACCACAGAGCGAAAAGATGACTGAACGTCAAGTTGTGCTGTTCGCGCCGTTAGTGATTACTTCTTCTTCTTTGAACTTTGGCGGTTGGCAAACAACGAATTGGTGCATTACGTCACCAACTGGAATGGAGTGTGGATCAGAATGTGTAGTAGCCTACTCATACTCCAATAATAATAATAATAAACCCTCATATTCTCCCAATCAGATTTGTTATTCTTAGATACTGAAATAGGATCTGATAGCATTCCTTTGAGTTCTTTTGTATTGGATGTATTTAAAATCAAATTTTATTTTTATCTTTCTCAAATTTTGAATCATATTGAGTGTCTGTTTGATATTTTTGACAATAAAGCATAACATGCTTGTCTTGTTCACAGTAGTCACATTTGGCGGTTAAAGACTGTAAGAGCCTGATGATGAGAACTGATGATGTCTGATAAGTGCACAAAGATGACATATTTCCGGCCAACCCGGAAGTTAGCACCACCCTGGTTAAACCATGGCATCTCACACATTCTTGCTCACATGTCCATCTAAGATTCTCAATTAAATTCCCAGAAACTGTAATCAGTATGCACATACCACAGTAATTACAGAAAAATAGACACTAAGATCCGAGACTGATAGTAAACAACATCTTAATTATTAGATAACGGAAACAGGAACTTAAATAGCAGTTATTAGTTATGTAGAATTAATTCGCAAGAATTTCTTTAAAGAACTGTTACATTCATATTGCTTTAAAAAAGAGATGGATCCATTTAAATACAATTAAATGTTCATTTATTTGTTAAAAACATATTTTTTATGGAAAAATTCTACATTTTTGCAGGTAACATGTTGTGAGCATGTTATACTGCAGGTTCCCAACCAATAAATTCTATTTTTCATAAAAACCTTTCTATAAGACATCAGATTTGTTTTAGGAGATTGTTATGAAACTATGGGACGAGTAAAATAAAGTGTCAGAGATTAAGACACTGATTGAGACATTACAGAAGGCACTGGCAGACTTTGCTTACATTTAATTATCAATTTCACACTTGTAAGTGAAAAAGACAAGCCTAACTTACAGAATCTACTGAGGACTTACCACAGAAACACAGTGATGGACTCATAACCCGGTTTCCCTGCCCGCGCCACTACATAAAGTCAGGACTTAAACCACTGCTTCTTTTCTAATCCGATGTGTTTGTGTGTTTTCAGGCCATGGCTCCGTGGAGGACCTGCTGGATGCTGAAAACAAACGTCTGGCTGACAACCTGGCCACCAAAGTCTCCAGACTGAAATCTGTGAGTCTCAACGAACAATTACTTTCTTCATCCACCAGTTTCATCATTTAATGACAAGTCAAACAGCTGTCAGTATTCATGTGACACTGAAATGAATTAGAACAGAGAGTCTAAGGACAGAGGGTGTTGTATGCTGTATAGATTTTAAAGCCCCATGAGGCTAATTTTGTGATATTTGGTTGTACAAAAAAAAACTAATATATCTTTTGCTGTTCTGGACTTTGTTGTAAGCTCCCCTTTCACAATCTGCTTTCATGTTCACTTCTCTGTTTGTAGTTTGACTCTGAAATGATGCAAACATGTATTTCTGTATCTGACAGCTGGCATACGACATCGACAGAGAGGCTGATGATCAGAACGAGTATCTGGACGGCATGGTGAGTCCATCTGATCTATGAAGAAATGTAGAAAATACAATTCATTTACATGCCGTGACCTTGGAAAGAGCTGTTTTCCACAATTTTTTTTTTTTTTGCAAAAATGCAAAAAAAAATTATTTTAGTCAGTTCATTAATTTGCAATTACATTGATAACTGATTGATTGTTCACTACTCACTTCTCAGCCTAAAACAACAAACATTCCAGTTGTAGGTTCTCAGATGTGAACTTCTTGCTTGTTTTACAAAATAGTAAACTGAATATTTTTGGGTTTTGGACTGTTGGTTGGACAAAACAAGACATTTGAATCTTTCACTTCCAGCTCTGGGACAAAATTATAGGCTTGTTTTTTTTTTTTCAGATACCAAAAAATGAATCAGTAAAATCCAGAAAATAATCTCCAGATTAATTGATAATGAAAATGATTGTTGGTTGTAGCCTTAAAATTGACTTTAGGAAACACGACTCTTCTGGATTCAAATGCATTTTTTTGAAAATGTGAAGGGGGCATGTTGTAGCTAAAATCTGGGTTAAGTTGCTTTAAATAACATCTTCCCTTCATCCGTTCTTCTTCTGCTCATGTTCCTTTTAGGACTCAAACTTCCTCAGTGCGACAGGCCTGTTGAGTGGCAGCGTGAAGCGTTTCTCCACCATGGTGCGATCTGGCAGAGACAATCGCCGCATCCTCTGCTACGTCTCCATAGGCCTGGTGGTGGTATTCTTCCTGCTCTACTACATGGTCTCCAGGATTCAACGTTGATGTGAAAACCAGATCAACCAGGAGCTGGTCCTGATGTGGAGCTGAGACTTTTGAGACTCTGACGTCATATCTGATTGATTTAAATCATCCCTGTGGTTTTCCTGCACAGGAGAGGACTTTTTAACAAACAAACAGGAAATGGACAAAAAAACATTTTGTTGAATTGTTGAACTGACCAGCAAGGGATGGTGGAAACATTAGCAGTCATGGAGTCTCTAAAGAAAAACAAAAACTGGACTTTGGCCTTTCCTGTTGCAAGCCAGGAAGTCCCAATGTGGGCAAACACAGGGCAGAGCCTGAATGCAGGTGTGCATGGTACCCACCACAGCTGAGTGTGATGGGCCAATAAACCCCAGAACATAAAGTTCAGTACAGACTAACTGTCTCAGTTCCAGACTACACAATAATTTAAAGCAGATTTTTAATTGCAGCTGATCTGTTCATGCTGCAAAATTGCTCAAGAATATATATTACAAACTAAAAAACACAAAAGAGCGAGTTGATGTTGCACAGCAATGCTCAAAGGAAATGAAGGAACAACACACATCTGCAAAAAATAATAATACATTTTCATTTTTAGTGGTGAGACAGCTGCAAAGAGGACTTTTTAAGGATGTTTTGTAGTAGCAAAGCTACTTTTTCCTGGCAGTTACTATAGAATATTCACTGTCTGCCAATTTGTATGTAGTGTGGAACTGGGACAAAGCAGGTGATGGTTTGACATTTTAATATGTTAACAAATGGCTTCAGTTGATGGACAGAAGACAGGGCTACAGGTAAATGTTCACACCACACACTGTAACATGTGATTCAGTTTTTTAGTTTTTTTAAAACAAAAACAACATTAAAACACCTGTGTTTTTCAGTTGTGGTTCAGTTTACTTCAGTGTGTGTTTGTGGCTCAGCCTGTTTCTTCCTAATTATTATTATTAAAAGTTGGGACCTGTCCTGTTCATGGTTTACAGCAACATTTTGTCCATAACGTGGGGGTAGGGGACATTTAAAAGGGTTGAAAAGTGTTTATTTTCTTTATGTGTTCACATTCCAGGCTCTTGACTGCTGATCAGCCAAGGCAGACATTTAATATTTTTATTAATACACATGCAATAAATGGTTTTAATTGTGGAACTTGTTTGGGAAAATTGCTTTTTACATGATTCTTTACGGTTCTGGGCATTATTTGAGATATACTGGCAATAATTTATGATTTTCTTTTTCATAATACAGTCTTCAATAAAAAAAGTGAATATTTTATTTTGATAAAGTAAAAAATAATAAATTATAATTCAATAAAAGCCTCTACAAGACTCCAACAATACATCACATCAGTGTCATGTCAACTGTAAAAAATATAATATTCATATTACTCACAGTTAGTTGTACCATACACAGAGGACTGAAACCAGGATTTCAGAAATGCTGAGGTCACATGTCCCTAAACCAAGTCTCCATTTTGATCTTATCATTTTCAATTAGATTTTGTGTCTTTTTTACTTAATAACACACTGAATCAGCAGCTGCTTTAAACCCTCAGGAGCACTTTGTTCATATCGGAGGGTAAACAGGATTTATTTGGGAAAACTTTTGTGTTTGTTACTTTCAGAAGCAGGTTTCAGATGAAATCAGAGGTTGGGTGAATATAAACAAACTGGAAAACTGTTTATGAATTAATCGTCAGCACAAAAACAAAAATAAGTTACAACAGCAAATAATTCTACAGCAAATGAATTTAAAGAATGTTAACACTTGGGTTCGTTGATATGAACTCGGAATAGAAATAAATTGTCTGTAATTTTTTTTTTCTCTGATCCTTATTTCTGTTTTGGCCGCTGTGTGTCGCTTCGGGTCGAGTCGTGTTTTTCCGGCAGTATCCGGTGCATCTCTTTCCTCGACTTCATGAAAAAAACAAACAGTCGGGCTGTCTTCCTCCCACCGCATTAGGTCTCCTGATTCCTTAACGTTGCCGTATAATATATGGGAGGAAATATTACTAATTCATCGATTATCGTTAACACGTTCTGTAATTGCGGTTCTTCTCCGGTTCGTACCAGGCTCGGCTGCACTCGGACCCCGCTCTGCCCCGCTGCTGCTCGGTCACATTCGGCTGTTGTCGTTCGGCGGAAGAATGGACGAAGCGGACTCGGCCACGAAGGCGCTCGGGCTGGATGAACCGCCCATCGGCGGGCCGCCGGTGGAGGGAGTGGGCTCGGATACCGAGTCGGAGGCCGAAGTCACCACGATGGCGGTGATGGCGGAACCGGGAAACATCGACATGGGAGCCGAGTCCCTGCCGAACTCAGACGAGGCCGAGGCGGCATTTGCAGGTGAGGCGGGCTTTAGCTAGCAGTAGGCCGCTGCTGTCCGTGGTGGCGCTAAAATACAAAATGATGACAATGTTAGTTAGCTTCACGTCGTTTGTGGAAGGGGAGAGCTCAGACCAATGACTGTATATTAAGACAAACTGGTTTTAATTTAATTTAAATCCTCTCGTCGATAAAAGGGTCCCTGTAACGATTCTGACATGCAACTGCAAACAGCTCTTCAACAATAAGTCAACCACCGTAGCTTCTGCACGTTTGTGATACACGACAGTTTCGCATATTTACCAAACTACATTCAATCTTTTCGCAATTTAACGGTTTGTAACATTGGTAGGATATTCCTTATTTATATATAACAGTGGACATATCCTATTCAATTTATCTTGGGCTCTCAAATTCGGCAAAGATAAATAATAAATTGATAATCATAATAAAAAAAAAATACCACTTTTAGATGTGGAATAAAAAATAAAATAGGTTAATTAACTAACATGTAACATTCACATCCTGCTGTAACAAATACTTACCACAGTAGACCATACACACTGCATAATTTAATTGACTATCTGTGCAATATCACTTATCTGCTGCTATTTTCTTGTTTGTTATATTTAATGTCTAATTAATTATTATATTATTAATCTTTTTTAAGTACTTGATATTGTATTTTTTGCAGTTTTTCCTTCCTTGACTGTCCACTTTGCTGCTGTAACACAAATAAAGGAATATCTTATATCATCTTAAATTTTTAACATTGAAACTAGTGATTTGACTGACTCAAACACACAATAGAAAATAGCTTCTGATTCTGGTTATGTTGATTGATTCTCATATTGCCCTGTATAGCTCTTCATGCTGTCATCATAACACTCAGTTTGGTTTGGAGTTTGAATTATTTTCTCCTTACTTGGCAGGTGTACTGTTGTAGCTATGATGCAGTGGACGTACTGATTTGAGGATGTATGTGATTATAAAATATTTTGAATCTCTCATTGTTGATCAGAGGTGACGGCGGTGACGGTGGCGGACGTTCAGGCTGCAGAGGACAACGTCTTCACCACAACCGTCGCCACGTCAGGAAGCCTCCCTGAACACGTGCTGGTAGATCAGCAACACACACTGATGGTCACACCCACTGCATATGATCAGTGTCACTCTGTATGTACAGTCTGTGCCGTCAGATTAGATGAGAGCAATAATCAGGTCAAAGTGAAGCCTTCATTGTTTTCATCCTGCTTCCAAAACCCTTTATAAGCAGCCTGTGCAGAGCTCAGCAGGAATAAGAAATACATGTTTTGATCATTTGTGCACATTAAATTACAAATTATTCATTCTTATCCTCACATTAATCATTCTTCATCATAATTCATGCTCCAGAATGCTGCAGGTGCACATCTGTAGACTTCTGATTCAGAGATCTGGCAACTTTTTAATTCCAATTTAATTTAATTATTTGATGTTGGTGTCTAAAATGTCTTTAATCCACCTACAGGAGCCCGACAGGTCCAGTACAACCTCAGTCATTGTACTTCCTGTGCTCCCAACGCCCTCTGCTGTCAGACAGTTGAACCTCCTATACTACACCATCTTTGTGTTTATACTGTGTGTGTGTGTGTGTGTGTGTGTGTGTGTGTGTGTTTTACAGAGTGGGAGGACAACCCTCCAGCTGGGTGAAGGTCTCAGTACCCAGAAGGCCACTTTGATTGTGGTTCACACCGACGGCAGCATCGTGGAGGCGACTGGCCTCAAGTCTGCCACCGCCATCGCACCAGGTGTGTGTGTGTGTGTGTGTGTGTGTGTGTGTGTGTGTGTGTGTGTGTGTGTGTGTGTGTGTTACTACTGAGAAGATCCTGCTGTCTCTGAGGCGTCCGCATTGAACCAAGCTGTTAAATAACAACTATAAAAACCTGAACTTGAAGCACAGTGACGTCCACCACTCTCTCTGAGATCCATCCGTCTCTGTTTGTTTTGTCCTCCTGTGCGTCCCTTAGGTCAACAGACCACGCCCACCCCGCTGACCCCACCCCAGGACAAAGACTCCTGCTCTAAGTACAACTGGGACCCCTCAGTCTACAACAACGAGCTGCCAGTCCGCTGCAGGAACACCAGTGGAGTCCTCTACAAGAACCGACTGGGATCAGGTGATCAGCACACCTGTAGTCAGAGTAACGTTACCAGTTTAAACCAGGATTTAAACCAGGCTTTCTTCAGTAAGCCACATTTATGTTCTGTTTTAGTTACTATTGATACTTATACCTCCAGACGAACCTGGTCCTGGTCCGGTTAGTTTTGAGGCTTAGCTTCACCTCAGGCTGAACCAGTACTACAATGTACCACTCTGTTTTCTCCAAATTCCTCCTTACAGTTTCTCTTTACTGCCAATTTACTGTTCATGTCAGATTGATCACATTTTGACAGACTGTAAGCTGCAGAAATTTCCAACTAAAAATAAGTTTAACACAGCTTTAGCACTGATGATTCATCCTGCAGAGTTTCATGTTGATCCAAAACTTTTGTCCGAGACTAATTTGTCCTGTTATTACCCCCCCACACTGACTGTTGTGTTGTGTTGTGTTGTGTTTAGGGGGTAAAGGTCGTTGCATCAAACACAATCAGCAGTGGTTCACGCCCACTGAGTTTGAAGGTCTGGCAGGAAGAGCGAGCAGCAAAGACTGGAAGAGGAGCATCAGATACGCCGGCAGACCTCTGCTCTGCCTCATACAGGTACTGCCGCACTGATACGCCGGTATGAATAGGCAAAGTTTATTTATACAGCACCATCCAGAGACAGGGCAGTTCAAAGTGCTTTCAATAGAAGATAAAGATGACAATAAAATAGCATTTAAAAAAAACAAAAAAAAAACAAATGTGAATAAATAAAACTATTGGAATAAGTCATATCAACATTGCATAAAAAATCAGGTAAGAAACTGAGAAGTGCTGCAGAAATAAAAGGCATTAAAAACAAGGAAATGCAAACATGGCACAAGATTAAAAAGATGCATTACAGCTACTTTATGACTGCTGTACTACACACTGTTACACCATACCAAGCACTTTTACAGTTTGTATTCAGATCAGCTGATTCTGAACAGAAAGCTCTGTGTGTGTGTGTGTGTGTGTGTGTGTGTGTGTGTGTGTGTGTGTGTGTGTGTGTGTGTGTGTGTGTGTGTGTAGGAGCGTATCCTGAACCCCCACGCTGCCTCCTGTACCTGTGCAGCCTGCTGTGACGACCTGACGGCGGTGAGTCGGTTCAGATTGTGGTTTAGACAGACTTCAGATAAACGTTTACTTCTTGACTATCTAAAGTTTCACTGTGGTACAATGAATTCTGGGTAAATTAAGACTTTAAAAAAAAAAAAAATGGCTGACCCAGGAAAAGCATCCACATGCTCAGCTCTATTTATGTGTTTACCTTCAGCAGTAAACGTCTGTCTTCAGGAAGAATTCAACAGTTAAAAGGACGTTTTACTTGAAATGTGAAACAATACAAAGAAAAATCAGATTTGGAAAAGAAATAGCCGCGATCTCTTAATCTTTGTTGTAGATCTCTTTATCTTCTCGTTGCTCTCTCCTTAGTCTGAAATGAATCACTCTTCATCTTTATGAAACGGTCTGACTTGCTTTAGAATAACCTATGAGCAAAATTAAGATTGACTTAACACGACAGACCAGTCTATAACACCTTTGTGAAACCCCTGGAGTTGTAATGTCTTTCCAGTAAAATATTCAATGATTATCTGCTCAGCGTTTCCAGATCAGGCTTTTTATTTGAACATGCAGGTAAGAATAGTTTGCAGCAGCTTGTTATAATCTTACTTTACTTTAGATATTATTTGGACGATTTCCTCTGAAGCTGTTTGCCACATTTGACTGACTGAGGGAATGACCGTGACCGACTATGGTCTGAGTTCAGTAGACCTGACACACAGTGACGCATGATAACTGATGACTAACAGATTGGATTTCAGTTTATTACAACCATATTATTTCATTTTCAAATAATTATTTGGTTACGAAGTCACAGCTTGTGTAACTTTATTCAAAAACCTTGGCAGAGATCATTTTTCATTATTGTAACCGTGGTTTTGGGTTCACCTAAAGAAAACTCATGGTGCGTCTTTACAAAATGTTTTTATGTTTCTTCTTTTACACAGCCTCGGACTATAAAGAGGAAAAGCTCTGGAGAGGCAAATTAGATCATTTTCTTCCTTCCCAGCAGCACAGGATAAAAACAAAAATGGATTTAAGGAAGGAAACCAGAAAGCCAAAATAAAAGATTAGGCCTCTTTTATGCTGATTGGGTTGGTTTGAGGGTGGGGTTGGGGTATCTGGTGTCTGTCAAATCTGGCTCTGGCTCTGTGATGACCGTGGTGAACAGACAGGCTGAGGAAACACTTTGAGGACTAAACATGGATGTTAACCTGTGTCTGTCTGTCTGTCTGTCTGTCTGTCTCTCCAGTGTCCGAAGGATAGTGGAGAGACTCTGGCAGCAGAAAACATCAGTATGGTAAAAGTTCATTTTTGTTTTTCTGTCATCATCTCCTCCTGGTTTTAAACCTGTGATCCGTATCTGGTCTTTACATTGTAATCTCAGTTTGTATGACGATTGCACCTCAGTATCCAAACCTGAAGGACAAGTCAACAAGTCCACTGGTCTGCTGCTTCTTATGAATCCTTATTTAAATACAGAAGAGAGACGTGACCCTGCTGAAACACCAGGACGTGTGTTAATATGTTGATTGAATAATATAAAAGGAAAGGTTTTGCTGCTTTTCTCTGTATTATATCATTATAAACTGAATTTCTTTATGTTTTTTTTACTAAACTATTGACCCTGAGAAACTGGGGACGACATTTTGTTTTGATGCTTTATAGACTGAGAATAAAGATAGGATCATTAGTTGCTGCTTTATTGTCAAGTACAGATTGTTGACCCCAACTGTCTGGTTAGATAATCTTGTTTATTTATTCTTTAGTCAGATTGTTCTTAATTTAAAAAATCTTTTCATCAGTTTTAGTGTTTTTTTTTAATAGTTTTTAATTAAGACAAAGTTCTGTTTATATTTTTATTTAACATTTGACAACTTTAGCTTCTTTACTTCAATAAAAAACAGTTTTGAAGTAAGTAAAAACAGCTACTATATGTGTTGTTGAACTTCCATGACTAGCATCTGCCTCTGTTTTAAAACTTTGTTTACAGGAGAACAAAAAACAAAAGTCTGAGTAAAAGAAATGATTGTTTAGTCTTAATTTTCATTTAATGAGGTCTTCAATTTAGATTTTTGAAATGGTGCATGAAACCCTGTTTATATTTAAGCTTCTGTAAAAACCATCTCAACTGCTGTTCCTTCCTTTCCTCTCTGTCGGTCCAGACCGGTCCGGTCCGCCTCTTCGTCCCGTACAAGAGACGGAAGAAGGACACGGACCCGCCGCTCGTCCTCCCTAAAAAGGAACTTCCTGCCACCAAAAACATCACGCTGACCCCTGGGACCACATGTACGTCAGGTGACCTCAGTGTGACACGTGTCATCCAGCAGAAGAAACACTAACATTCAAACAGTTTGTAGTTCAGGATCAGCAGGTTCACGAGCTCGCAGTCCCAGCAGCTTGTTTTAAACAGAGTCACAGAGGAAGTAGTAGTTTGCATTTCTTGACCTTTGAACCCCTTAAAATTCCAATCACATTATTCACCACCATCTTGTAAAACACCTGAATTAAATTCAGTATTGAGTCACTGGAATTCATAAAATATGAATGAACATATTGGATGTTCTGATGTTTGTAAGTTTCCATCGGATCTGTGTTGTGAACTTTTAAACCTCGTCTTCAAGTGTCTGACATATCTGTCCTCCGCCACAGTCACCGTGTCCCCGTCAGGACAGTTCACCACCGCCGGAGCCTTGACCTTCGACCGCACTCCGTCAGGTGACGCCACTGCCGCCGCCGCTGCCGCCGCCATCATCTCGGAGGGCTCGTCGCAGAGCGAGGTGTTCGCAAGCACCGCAGGTACCGTCCACCACTGATGCCAGTTATTTTGAAGACTGTCCGTCATCTGTAGAACATTTTAAAGCTACAACCATAAGTCCATCAATCTAAATTTTTAATTTTAAAACAAAATTTCAAGCAAATATGTCAAAAATTCAAACGTTCCAGCTTCTAAAATGTGACTATTCTCTGGTTTTCTTAGTCTTTTATGATAGTAAACTGGATATATTTGGGTTTTTGAACTGTTGGTTGAACAAAGCAAGACATTTGAGGACATCATGGATCCCACACGGATTTTACAAAATAAAACTCAAAATAAACCTTTTTTGTGCTCTTTAACAAAGATAAAAACCTCCATGGATTAAACATTTATAACAGAAACTGTAATACTATAATACACATCTTTTATAATGGTGGTCTATGGGGAAAAGGATTTTTTGGTTGCAATACCGTGAGTGACCACTGGGATAAGTATCCAGCTCTCTTTCTACATCCATGGTCCCCCTCCTTAATGATTTGTAGAGGGGTTTCCCACAGACCCCTCACCTGCGGCCTATCCATCATCCTATCAGGCTCTCTCTGATTGGCTGTTGCGTTGCTGTAATGAGCTCTCAGGAGAGCGCGGGTGAATAATGAGACGCCACCACCGCTCGCCGTCCTGATTTCTCTACCTGAAGATAACCGCCTCTTAAAAGGACCAATCAGAGATCTTCCCACATAGATGTGACACTGAGCAACCAAAGCTGACTTATTAAGTTTCTGCTCCACTTGTTTTATTATCAGATGTCTTTTATAATGACAGTGGAAACTTTTAGTTCTGTGTCCAGCTGTGTGAAAACATCTGTACTTGTACTTTTAAGCTCTGACTGAAAAAGTCCGACAAACTCCACCACTAAGGTCTGACAGCCTGTATTTATCCTGACAGTCAAACCCCAGGGCGAAGGAAAGTGTGTGAAGCAGCCGCCGCTGTGCACGGTAATAACTGAAGGTTATTCATCATCGGCATAATCAGCGTTTTTATCAGCTCTTCCTTTTTTTCTCATCTACATTATGATGGCAGGACAGAAAGAGAAAAATGATCAGAGAGATTTTAGTGTGAAAATCAACCTGAGGTCGACTTGTCCGCCGGTTCCCAGTGGAAATTACGCTCCTTGATACCAATTGTAGCAACTGACAACTCGCTTTTTTTTAACATAATCCTGTCAAATGACAAGACTCACTGCAGAAAAGTGACAGTTACACACCGGCTTCTTTCTAGTAAAATAATGGGAGATTTTCCATCAGATTAGGAGGAAAGTAAGAGTCCAGTAAAATAACGTGTTACTGAAAATATAAACCTCCATTTACCTGCTAGAAGAACACTCGCACATTTTTCCCCAGGACGTGTTAAACCACAGTCGGAGATGGATGTCCAATTATTTTTGGACCGGTCTGTTCTCGGCGGAGCTCCGAGCTGTCAGACATTATATGGTGTATGTGGGTCAGGGGAGAATGTATAGAGGACGCACAGACACACTGACCTGGATCTGCTGGTGTTTGATTCTACGTACTTCACTTCTACGTTTTAATGTCTGAGCTGCAGGTTGTTGAAACTGTGGTACTGATGCCAACCTCAGAAAGTGTGACAGCAGGAGCTCCGTCACTCTGTCAGCTGCTCCAGGCTGAGGATTTGTCTTTTTTTAAAAAATTTTTATCATAGATTGAAAACTTTGCATTTTATGAAAACTTCAAACTGAACTCTGGGAAACGAGGATGAGCAGTTTACAGACAAGATTAAATAATCAGCAGTAATGAAACTAATCATTACTGTGAAATAAAATCACCTGGACACACTTGAGATTCTCACAGTTCAATAGTTGTTATAGCAGTTTTCAATAATAAAAGTTATATTATTTTTAATTCTTATAATCATTTTAATGAGCATGAGGAAGGTTTGACTGAATTCTGAACAGATTTTCTGACAGAAAATTATTTGTCAGCAATTCTGATAATTAATTCAGTGTTTAGTAACTTTTTCAGCCCAAATGCCTCAAATTTCAGCCTCTAAAATGTGAATATTTGGTGGTTTTCTTATTATAGTGAACTGAATCTGCACAGTTTTGGGCTGTTGTTTTGTTTAGTGAATTCTCAGGCACATTTTATTTTACTATTTTAGATCATGAGATCATAGATTGTTATAAAATATCTGACAGTTTAGAAATAATGAAAATAACTCATTGTTGTTTGGTGCCTGTGTAAATTAACTTCTTCTTTTTTCTTCTTCTTCTTCTTCTTCTTCTCTCTCAGTGCTGACAGCTTTGCCAGCGTTGGCGGTGACTCCTCAGCCCGTTCAGGCCAAGTTGGCGGTGACGACGACGCCGGCGGCGTCTCCATCTGCGGGGCTGGTGAGCGGGCTGGAGGAGGGGCCAGTAGGGGGGGCGGGGCCGGCAGTGAGCGAAGGGCAGAAGAACACCTGGCTGTACCTGGAGGAGCTGGCCAACACGCTGCTGAGCAACGTGCAGCAGCTGAAGGCTCTGATCGAACAGGCCAAAAACTCCTCAGGGGACACGGCGGGGTTCAAAGGTCAGGGAGGGAGGAAGGAGGTGAGAACACACACACACACACACACACACACACACACACACACACACACACACAGAGACTGAGATTTAGATCAGCAGAATTAAATTATTACACAAATACAAATGAGTGATCTCAGGTGAGCTTACTGAGTTACCTATTGATCGTGTGTGTGTGTGTGTGTGTGTGTGTGTGTGTGTGTGTGTGTGTGTGTGTTCAGTGTGGTTTCAGTCAGTCGTTTCAGAACCAGATTTCCTTTCAGCAGCCAGACGACTCTGAGGCCAAGAGGAGCTCTGACATCACTGAGATCATCATCAACGTATGACACACACACACACACACACACACACACACACACACACACACACACACACACACACACTTGTCTTTTTACAAAGAGCAGCCCTCAAAGCTGTTCTCCAACCTGAGATATCCGGACTTCAAAGAGAAAGCTGAATTAATTTTCTCTGCTCCTCTGTATTTAAACTGTGTGTTTTCCTGTGTTGCCTCTGCAGCAGATGTGTGTGAACTGTGGCCGGGTGGCGATGAGTGAGTGTACGGGCTGTCACAAAGTCAACTACTGCTCCACCTTCTGTCAGAGGAAGGTGAGACTCGCCTCGACGATCCGTCATGTATTATTATTTATTATTTTTAACATTTATTTCACCAAGAAAGTGAATGTAATATATGTAGATATGTCGAAATTTAAATATATGAAATATACATTTATTTGTACATATTTGTAAAAATTATATGTGAAATCTATTTGAAATTTGAGCAATTTCATATATTAACATATATATGTAGCCTATACAAATACACACATTTATGTACAGTATGCTTGTATGGGTGACATATATGGAACCACTACTCTTGATATAGGGACATATATGTGTATATGTATATTACATTTCTGTATGACTGAGGACAACATGTTCTCCTCTGCATCACAAGAATAACATTTGCTGCACACTTAATATGAGTTCCTGTTTGGAGTTCTCCTAAATATGAGTGGAGATGGGAGCAGGAGGGAAATGAATCAGCTGATATTGTCACTTTATCAGGATGACAGTGTAAAGACACGTATGAATATAAACAGTGTTTGTCTCTGCAGGACTGGAAGGACCATCAACACACCTGCTGTCAGTCAGCAGGGGGCGTGGCCGTCCAGGAGGAGGAGCCAATCACAGCCATCGACATGGACAAAGTGAAATGAAGGCGGTCCCGACGTCATCGCCGTCATCAGCTGATGCACACAGGAAGTTCCTTACGTGGACGAAGAGGAAAGTATTCCACTTAACATCTCCTTACTGGAGCTTTTATTGTGAAAGTTTCCCCTCGGACCAGCATGAGAGGAAGGTCTGAGATCTCCTGACAGTTGAACATCATTCACTTCTTAATCAACACACTCTGATCATCAAACTTCTGCTTCAGGAAACAGGAAACTGTCACACGCTGAACTGTACATGAGCAGAATGTGGATAAACTCATCAATCGTTTTCCCCACTACTTTAATTGATTATTTTAACAGTCACTATAATGATGATTTTTATTCCTTATCTTCCCTCGGTGGCTGTTGTCTCTGTCGAAACATCCTCTTGCTGCCATTGTTTCCTCTTGATAAGCAGATTTAAATCTCCAGAGACGTCCTGGGTAAATAAAGGTCAAACACATCAATAAAATAAAAAATAAGATTGGATTAAAACCCCACCCCATCCCGGCCAGTACTTTGATGTGAATTATTTATTGTCTTTTCTAAATGTTATCGTGGTGTTTTTGTTTATTATTGAGATTCATGTTTCACATTGTCAGATTTTAAAGGTTTTTCTTCCCTTTAAAACGCTGTTTGTGGTCCAGTTCTTATTTTTACATGTGAAAGTTTATGTTTTCGTCCGGTTGATCGTCATCTTTCAGGACTTTAAGGCTCTGTAGTTTTCTCTGTTTACATGTGAGTCACAATCAGAAAGATGAAAACCAAAAAGCAGTGGAGTATGGAAGCTCAGAGCTGCCAGTATTTAATTTGCAATTTGTGTGCTCGATAAACATGAGATGTGTGGCAACTCTACGAGAAACCAGAGCAGCTGTTTAATTAGAAATGAGCTAAAATCAAGAACAAATGCACAATTTAAAGCCCAGTTTGCAGTTTAATTTTCAAGTTGAAGCACATTTTATTCATTAAATGGAAGTTAAATATTGTCTGTTGTTAACGGCATCACTTTAACTCGTGACCTCATTTTGTCATTTTAAAAAAAAACACTCAAATTTACAAGGTTTCTTCTTAGATTTTTCTTCGAGCTAAAACAATACAATACAATTACATGAAGGTTTAAGTTTTTATTGTGCAAAATATGATCTTTTCTGTACAAGACTCAGTGGTTCTGTAGTTTTCTGTTGCTACTACTATTTAATTTTCACATTTCTAACACAACGTATTGTTTCTCTGTCAGAGCAGTTGAATAGTGTCCTCTGATTGGTGCATTTCAGCCAATCAGATGTGATGTTTCGACCAGTCGTTTTAATGTTTCAACAGATTTCAGGGGGAAACCTGCTGTTCGGGATGAAATACATTTATATTTTACTCTGATTAGAATTGAGCTAATATCAGGACAGAATTCACATTTTGCAGTTTCATTTATAAGTTCTAGTTGCACATTTTCTGTTCACTGTCATCATTATTATGGCAGCATTGTGATTTATAACACACTGGAGATTATTTGAAAATTGAGTTATTATTTTACTTTTTTTAATGAATTAAATTTACTTGCTTTATATTAATTTGGCAAAATGCAGAAATTTTTATTTAAATTTGAATTCTGACATGTTTTCTATGCAGTGAACCTGAACTTCAATAAAATAAAATCTAAAATCTCCAAAGGATCATAAATAAAAACCTTTGGAGGTTTTCTACCATGTATCACGCCGTCACTGATGTGCAATCTTTACAACTGTTTTCTATCATACTTTATTGCCTTCTTCTGTCACTGTCTTTTCTTCCGTCAGCAGGATTCAGAAGAGACTTGTCTTCATTCATATCCACAGATGTTTAATTTATTAATGAAATGCAGATTTCAGGTTTTATTTTTATCCAACTAGTCTCTGAGGGAAAACGCAGCTTCGTTCCTCCTGCAGGATTCCCACCCGACAGGTTTGTGTTTTCTGTCTCACTTTTAGTTTTTGTATTCAAACAGTTTTCTGTGTTTCTGTGTTTAGTTGCTGGAGACAAGAGTTTAGTGGGTTTTTTTTACATTCCTGACAGTCAGCACTCAGGTGATCTGTCGAGACCGACTCCTGATGAATTGCCGCAGACGTGATGACATTTGATTCTGCTGTGTCTCAGTCCCAGCGGCGCTCGGATGTCTGCTGCTGCTTGCTGACAGTGAAGGGGACCCCCCTAAGGATCAGACATTTCCTACTTTAACAGCCGGGTCACCTGAGCTGTAAGTTTGGGAAACTTTAACAAAGGAAGCTGGTTGTTTTACTGATGGAACACTACAAGTTACATCCACCTGTGCAGGGGGTGGGACCAGAATGATCCTGAAAGAAACACCAAAGGCATCAGGGGCGTGTTGCTGTTGTCAGTCTGTCCTCTGAGCTTTCAGCTCTTTTGACTCTGATGAGATCTGCTGAGAAGCTTTTAAAGCTTCCTGTCTTTTTGTCATCAAACTTTAAAGACCTTCAGATGACTTCGTGCAGGTCCAGATCCTGCAGGGACCCCGAGCACTCTGGACTCTGTCTGGAAAATAATAAGCAGTTCTGACGCGGATGAAAAAGCAACTTAACAACCCCCTGAAAACCTTTTGTTTTTTGTTTTTTCCCAATCTAGTGGTTTAATGTCTCACCTTGTGCTGTGATGTAGAAGTGCGTGATGTGTGCAGTGAAGTCACTGTTGGGTGTGGTTACAGGTGCAGCGAAACACACCTTTGTGCATTTTAACCTGCTGTTCGGTCACCCTTTTATAATGGGCTTTGGTTTATTTCATACTTGTAGTTGTGAGTGTGCACAATTAGCTAGAAATTTATACATTACACACCCCACCCCCCACCCGTGACCATCGGTGACTAACTTCTGTTTTCCGGTTGTGTCCTTTAGATTGCACTTCCCACCAAGTTTGCTATTTTTTTTAAGGCAATACACATTTTGCCTGGGAGGAGGCAGCACCTTAAAAGCTCCTGCTCTTCAGTAAACTCCACAGATTACATGACAGACGATGGGCTGTAGCCTAGACACTGATATACTGTGTATCTGTGGCTAGTTTGTGTATACCCATACATAGGTGAGTGTACACTAAATACCAAAGCACCTTTTTCCCAACATCTAAACATCTGGTTGATTTGACGCCTAGCAGACATTTCTGAAACTCTGAGATAGAAAACCGAGGGGCCATATTCCCAATGCATCTTATGACTAACTCCAAAGTTTACACGGCATATATGAATGTTTTCTCTGTTGCAGGATTGTCTCTGTGTCTTGCTGGGAGCAGGTGGTTGGAGCAGCGATTTCAGCATTTACAACTCAAGAGGATATGATACGCCATCTGGGCAGCGCTACTTCTTCAGGGCAGACTGGACGTTACAATGACTCGCTATCGGAAAATGACGAGATGGGTCAGCCAGGCTTGTGGGCTAGCTAGTTAGCATGCTAACATTGCACCGCTGGAGACAGCTCTTGGTGAGTAAAGGAGTGAAGTTTGATGCCAAACTTGCAACATTTCTTCTGGACTGGTACGTAAACACAATGTTAACATTAGCCAACACAAGCTAACATTATCTACGTTGGAACAGCAACATTTAAGCAGTAAAATACATCATTGCTCGAGTTACAACACTTTTTTGGCTACAGCTTTACTTGGTCTGGTATGACCACAAGCTTAAGGTGGCTAATGCTAACAAAATTACTGAGTCACTTCGCTAACTTAATGGCAGTGCTCTCCCTGTGCTACTGTTACAGCACTAAATTAAATGCTAAACAATAGCGTGTAGCGTTAACCCATAACTGTCACCTGTTGCCAAAAATGTATTCTCGCTTTACGACTTCTAAGTTTTAATTCACAAAGTGTTTTCGCTCCAACAGCTTCTAAGTCTGAGAGAAGTTAGAAGGAGTCAAGACCCCTGAGCCATAAAATCCTGCTCACAGGCAGCAAGTAATGATGGTGGCCATTTAATAAGGATTGATTCAACTCACCAACAAGTTGAAGCAATCCAATAAAACTGGAGATGATGGTTTGAAGAATTGATGATACAATTTCATGATCTCATCCTCACTCATGTGGCAGGATTATTCATCGCAAAACTGTGTTATCCAGACTTGTTTGAGGAAGTGCACATTAAATAATCATCAACTGCAATAAATATTTAAATAAAGCTGATTTCATGGCCATTGCTGGATTATCCAGTAAAATCGCTGCAATATGTAAAAATTATCGCATCAAAGTTTGATCGTTTGTTGCCAGCTGTAAAAAATATCACACGCTGATAGTATTTGGTGCCAGGTACAATATAGTTGACAAGTCAATATTTTACTGTCATGAAAGAAAACCGTGACACAGTTTCTAAAATATCTATGATCCCTTGATGAAATCTCTTTATCTATCTATCTAATCTAATTTAATTTGTTTCTCATTCTCTTGTGTGATGATGAATATTTTATTTCAACCATAGCAACAGGGTCAACCACTGCCCTTCTCTTAACTCAGGATTTCTCTTTGGGTTAGGGTTAGCAGCTTAGCAGCAAAGTCGTCATTGCACCACACACAATCTGATTTTTAGTGAAAACTTTTATTCTGAAAAGATGAATTGCCACATATAAAATCGGTTCATGTTGGTAATGTGATGTAGATGTGTTGCTGATCCTATGTACAGTTTGTTCCTCAGACTGAAGCTTCTTAACAGGAAACTTGAAGCTCAAACAAACTTTGCTGTCGTTGCATGTAAAAAAAAAAAAAATTAAAAACCTCACAGAGGAAGGAAACAATGGCAACATTCACAGACTAAAGACACTAAATCCAACAGTCATTAGCGACTATTGCAGCTGTTGTACGTTTAGAAATCGTCCATGCAGCGGTAGCGGTGCAGTTCTAGGAGCAGCAGCGGTGCAGAAACTTTTTGAAGAAGTTCCTAAACTCTGTGTTGAAGACAGTATAGATGACGGGGTTCAGAGCACTGTTGACGTACCCGAGCCACGTCACCACGCTCATCAGGGCTGGTGGGACGTGGCAGTCCTGACAGCGAGCTCGCATTGTGTGCAGGACAAAGAAAGGAGTCCAGCAGAACAGGAAGGCACCTGCAGGAGGAGAAGAGGAATCAGAGATCAGAAGTTTGTCAGCAGTCGGACAGAAACACGAGGGACCTTACATTGAGTTTACCAGCATTTAGATAAACCTGTTCCTCTCCAGATGTTTCAGGGTATTAGTCTAAACTCCATCCAGTATTAAGACAGATCTAGCTCACGTTTAACCTAGTTTAGCACAAACAATGGAAGCAGAAAAATCCAAAACATTTACTGTCCTGATATAATCTGTTTCAGGACTAGAAGAAAAACACAAACCTTTCTCTCAGGTTGGATTAAATGATTTAGTATTTTCATACTGAAATTGTGACAACTTTCAATTTTTATCATAACTTTATTAATGTCTTCAAAAACCTACCAAACTACAACCAACCTTCAATACTCAGATGAGTTCAGTCAATCAATCAGAGCTTCAGTTAGCTATCAACCAAATTACATAGATATTTCACAAACCCATCCATCTACTAACCTACCAACTCACCTACCTTCCTTCCTATCTAACTAACTACCGGCCTACCAACTCTACGTACCTATTTATCTATCTATCTACCATCCTACACACCTACCAACTATCTTGCCGTTGAGTCAGATGAACAAACAAGGTCAGAGCTTCACCTTCTTACTGTATTCCTACTTGCTTACCAAATTACCAATTCACCTATCTACCAGTTTACCAATCCGTGTACGGTACCTTTCAACCTACCAGCTTGCATTCTTCTCACCAATTTACCCATCTGCACACCTCCCAAACTACCTCCACATCTACCAACCTAGCTCAGTGGTAGTTCAATGTGGACAGAGCTGGAGTTTAATTTGTACAAAAATGTTTTATCAGCCATAAAAAAAAGTGGACTTAGTTATTTTCTTTGTATTGCTGAGCCCTACTCTTACCTTAGGCCACCACCTGAACTGTCACGGAACATAATGGAGCAGATATTCATGAGAATTACCTGCACACTGAGAATCGTGTCTGACCAAGACTTACGTAATAATTGGATTTCAGATTAAGGACCTGCAGGATTAGCTGCTGTGTGCCAAAGGGAAGCACTTCTACGCATTAGGACCAACACTGGCTGCTATTAATAGGCCAACCTTTTCTAACTGATGTGCTAGTGCCTCTGAACAGACATCAGAGGTGGAGGTGAGGCGTTCAGGTACCTGCAGTCACCCATTATATTATATGTAAATGTCTGGGTGTATGGGTTGATGACGTTTTTCCTAAATCTTTCGTAACTTAAAAGTAATTAATTTGAATGTTGTAGCTGCAGTAAGGTTTTCTGGCATAACTTCACCCACTTCCAACGTCCATGATGGAAAGAAATTATCTTAAAAAGTCAAAACTGTAAAACAGTACGAATGATCATGATTTGAAATTCAGTAATTACCGTACATTACAAATCTCAGAGAAACTCTCCCATACTTCAGCATTTAGGGTGGTCACTTTGGATTCGAGGGTTTAAAATCACTTTTGTGTCTGTGAGTTCAGGATGTGTTCAGCTGGGCAGAAGCTGTATGGATTAAGCCACATTTTAATCCTAAATTGGGTCAAATTTCCAATAGGTTGCCCGTCATTTGATGTTCAGTTTGAGACAGGTCATGAGGTCTGATCAATAAACGGTCAGGCCGTTGGATGGTATCTAGCAATACCGTGCCATACGATGATCCAGGTTCCCACATGACTGCTGTCACCAGGTCTGTCATACACTGTAAGGAGCTTGTTTTAATTTTGTTACTGCATAAGCATTAAACAAACAATACTGTTCAGTGTTGACATGCAGTAACCTCCATGTTGTGACCAGTCGCTTGATCAATACAGTGTGACCAGACGAGTCTGATGATCTAGTTGTGTTGGAAGGCTGATTAAAATGTATAATGTGACTTGACACAACATACAAGATTAATGAAATCCTACCGTGTCTGCCCAGCTTTAGCTTGGTGTCGCGAGGTGACTACAGTCCCTCCAGTCTTATCTACATGTCGTGTCTTCTTAGCTGCTACCTTTCCATCATTGGGCCTATATCCAGGTATCAGCCTCACTGTGAGGATGAAAGGTCATGCATTCAGTGAGACCACAATTTCCCTGTTTTGTTTTTGCTTCTGTTAAATACAGAAGGTGTGATGCATCAATGTGCTGGTTTAAGTTTTGAAAAGTTGAAAGTTCTTTGTACTCCTGATGCTGCAGGAGGTCTAATCCCCTCACGCTGCTGACCGCTGGCACCAGAATCTCAAACTTTCTACCTAAATTCAGTTTTCTGCAAGGTTCAGGGTTTGGACTGAATTACTGAAATTAAAACCAGTTGACACATAGTAAACCTGGAGATTTTGGAGGCGCTGAAATTCAAGCCAGACCTCTTAAGTTTTAATACAACAACTGTTGCTGTAGTTTTGACCCTTTAAGACTGTTTCCATTCTCCATAGATCTTCACTCTTCAGTGAAGAACTAATCAGCCTTGCGTGGTAGTGGTGTTACCAACGCTGCTGAACAGGAGGTGAACTCACCCACAACAACAGGAAGCACCTTCATGGCCTTCCTCTCCCGACTGTTGATCTTGGCCCTCTTCCTCCTGTGAGGGTCAGGGTTGAACCTGATCTCCGCAAAGCTCACCGTCCGCACGGGTCCGTCTTTGTACTCTGAGTGGAAGGGCCGATCCGTGGACGGGAAGGTGGACGGTTCATCCGGAGTATCTGTCAGTTCCCGCTCTATGATGGGTGGCAGCGGCGGCGGCAGGGAAGCCAGTGGCGGCAGCGAGGCGGCGGCCTCCTGCAGCTTGCGACACGCCTGGATGCTGTTCCTCAGCTTGGCTTTACGCGCCTCCTCCCAGCGCCGCAGGCCACGAAACATGCCGCAGTACAGCAGCAGCATAATGGGACAGGGGATGAAGAAGGAGCACACAGACGAGTAGAGGACGTAGTTGTCGTTCTCCAGTTTGCACTCACCAGGGTCGCGACCAGGCACATTATTGATGCCGAACATGACGGGCGAGGCCACGGCCAGGGCCAGGATCCAGGTGGCCGACAGCAGCATTGTCTGCCGCAGGTCCACGTGCTTCCTGTTGTAGTTGAGAGGGATCAACACAGCGATGAACCTGCAACAGGTGAGAGAAACTTTACAATCTGAGAACAGCCACGACAGATAGCAAAATAAATCCGGCCCATACTTGGGCCACATGCTTGTTTTCTTCTGGCCCAGTATACGCACGGTTCCACGGCCAAAATCTGGCACATATACGGCACAATTGTCAGATTTTACCTCCACATCTGGACCAATAGTGGTGCACACACAGAAAATCATCCGGCTAGCAGCCAATACAGGAGGATAACAGCTGGAATCTGCCCAGATGTGGGAGTATATGGGCCAGACACGGTCCAAGGATCCAGATAGATGTTGGACCAGACGTTTCATTTGGCTATCTCATTATGATTTAGTGATTCTTGTGCAGTTTCACACTACAAAATGCCATTCATTCATTCACGTGAAATAGGTGTGAGTGGAAGCAGAGCTAGCGGTGAACCGCTAGTATGCAAGCTAACTGTTAGCCGTTAGCTCAGAAACAGCTATACTTCCCCCGGGCATTTTGTTCATCGCTGCACGCCATTTTGTTCAATGGCAAGATACTGACAAAGAAAATAAATACTGATTGTTTCCTACACACAACCAAAACAAAATCTCCATAAACATCCGTTAAAACCAGACTTAACATATTGTGTGTGATCCATTTCAAGTTTATAATCCATATAAAGTAAAATATGATGGTTTTATCTAATTAGAAATTATTTTTTTTTCTCCTCCTGTTCCATGTTTTAGAAATATATTCAAAAAATGCAAAAACATTATTAAAAAGATATTCAATAAAAGCTCCATCCTCAATTCTAAATCAAATCTACATCTGGAACAGTATCAGTTGTAAATCATGAAGGACACAAAGATAATGAAATTAATTAGTTCGTCTTCAACAACACCTCTGTATCTTCCTGTTTCAGTATGTAGAGGCACAATCATCATTTACCTTTATACAATTTGTCTTTTATATATTTTTCACATTTATAATCTTTTCCTAAATAGAAAATAAGTTCTCTATTTGGGCTTTTGCAAAAATTTCCTCAGCCTATGATAAAAAGAGGACGTAAATATGACAGTTAAAAATAAATAAAAATAAAATACATGACATTAAAAACAGAAATAAGTACTTCCACCATCATCTTAATACTTGCAATCCTTTCAGGCTGAGCAGGAAGTTGTTGTTCTGTCAAAATAAATCTTCCTAACCTCAATCTTGACAGCTGATGGCAGAATCAGAGCGCTGCTGTTTCTTTATTGTTCCCAAATGAATCAGCTTCTTCTTTTTCATAGCAGATACTTTAACCTTTCACAGCTGGAAAATCACAGGTGGAACTAATTAAATTAAATTAATGATACATCCTTCCTGTAATTATTGCAATGCAGCATTAAATAATGTTATTAGTTACACTTTTAATTGACAGGTTTACATTTTTCCCGCCTGATGGCTCTGCAGCCTCCTCCAGGTTGGGAACCACTGGTGCAGTTGGACGTGTACAGTCCCTGGGGTCTGAAGACCTTCATGCACATGAGTAGATGATGATATTTACACATCATGGACGCTCGCAGCTGCAGGAAAATATAATTTTAGCTTGATGCTCTGACCAACATCAGCACCTCAAGGCGTAGAAATCATCATCCTCCACAGGTATTCACAGGTGTTCACGTGTGATAAGACCTTTAAGAAGGAGCCATCGGTCAACATGACTTTTTTCAAGAGGGATATTAAGAATTAAAAAAGTACAATCACTTTTACTTGTAATGAGGTGTGTTTAGACCATGTTATTTCTACTTTTAACCGAGTAAAAGGTGTGGAGAAGATCGATACCACTCTCATATCTGTCTATATGAAGCTACAGCCAGCAGCTGGTTAGCTTAGCTTAGCATAAAGCATGGAAACATAGGGAAACTGTTAGCCAAAGGCAACAAAAATCCACTTACCAGCACCTTAAAACTCACTTATTAACAGGTAAAATATTATTTATTTAATAATAATAATGATGATAATAATAATTATAATTATAATAATAATAGTCTTTATTTATAGAGCACTTTTCAAAATCTACGTTACAATGTGCTTGACAAAATCAGCAAAAAATAGAATCAATAAGATCAATAGATTGGTTAGCTGTATAAAAACCAATACAGAGTAATTTTAAGAGAAATAAAACAGTTCAAGGGAAAGTAAAACCAGGAAAAGCTCGTAGATAAAAGTATGTTTTAAGAAGAGGTTTACCTGAAGATCTCAAGGTTGGAGATATTACCAGGAGAGAGGCCACTGAGAGCTTTAAGAGTAATCAATAAAATCTTAAGTCCTGGGAGCCAGTGTCAAGAGGCTAAAACAGGAGTGATAAGTGAGTGAGTGAAACACCTTTTGTGGGAAGTTTTGTGCCGGACTGTTTCTAACCTCCAGACAGGAAATGACTTTCCCAGCCAAGAAACAGTCCAACCTCTGTCAAACGGCAAATTGTCGTTTGTACTCTTCAGTTTTTGTACTGATTAAACAATGAAACAAAATAATTAGTGAGCTTTAAAAATGTTTGAAGTTTGGATTTTGTTCCCTTGCCAGGCTAGCTGTTTCCCCCTGTTTCCAGTCTTTATGCTAAGCTAAGCTAATCAGTTGCTGGCTTTACCAAAAGCAAATAATCCTTCTACTGTAAAAGGTTGAGATCAGCAGGAAAAACATGAGACTGACCTCTTTGACTTTCCCACAAGAAATATTAGTAGTAACAGTCGCTTCATTCAGAGGCTCTGACTCTGGGGCCCCCTGGTCCCTCGGGCCCTTGGCCCTGTTCAATAATCCATCTATGAATGATAGCGGGTCATCAGTCAGTCTGAAGAGTTCCCCGTTCAGCCCGTGGACTCCAGCAGCTGGTGGACTCTCTGCAGACCTTCAGGATCTGCTTCCTAAACAGTCTGTTGAATAATTCAAACTCTGTCATCCAGTTAAATCTCTAACTGCTTCAAAAAGCTTCAGATCATCACCATCAGTCCACGTTAGCTTCACTGCCTCCATCAGTCTTTGACGTAATCATATTTCCTGGAGTCAGGACATCAGATTTGAGGAGCTACCCGGGTTTTTCAGCTCAGAGTTTTCATCCTTCAACATCAGCCGAGGGTTCAGATAATCTCATTGAGTCAAAGTAACGAGCGCAGAGCGAAGCTGGCAGTTCATCATTACAGACGCATCCTTCATTTAGGGCTTTAAATTGTTCTGTCTGCTCTGATTTTTCTTCTTTTGGAGCTTTTTACAGGAAATGGACAAAAGGTCATTGTCATATTTCCACATTAGTGTGAACCGTGGCGTTACTGTCTGACTCCGACGACCTTCAGGTGGAGATCTGAAACCCTCAGCGGGGCGTCGTCTGTGTTCCTGACAGACCGCTCAGGGTCCTGGTTTGATTAATCAGCTGGTTGTTCCTGCGTGACCCTGACCTGAGGCTGATTAAAGCTCTGGCTTCGACATGGAGTCTGTGAGTTATGGCTGAACTTTGACCTCTGAGCTACACAGAGTTTCCTCTGATATTCCTATAGTTTCAGCGTTTGTTTGACTTGACTTTGAGCCGCAGCTAAATCATCTGTATCCTCTAACTATAAGTGGTGGCAGTGTCGGTCCAACACTTCAATTCAGACTGAAATATCTACACTGGTGGATTGTCATGAAGTTCAGTCCAAACATTCATGTTTCACAGAGAATGAATCCTCAGATCCTCTGACTGACATCAGTAGACACATTTTTCATGTATCCTTAGAGATATCTCAACATCTACTCAGTCAGTTGGCACACCATTTGGTACAGACATTCATTTTCCCGAGTGGATGTATCCCAATGAAGCTTTGGTGTTCAGTAAGGAAGATCTTTTCCCTCTCACTTCTTTTTCTATTAGAGACTCCTGCTCTTTCCGCTTCTTCCCATCAGTTAGCCTTCCCTTGTTGATATAAATGTGGTGGACAAAATATAAAAAACCTCTGTATGATGTGGTACACTTCAACAGCAGTGTTAGACTTTAGGCTGAAACCGTATTAAGCCCCTTTTCTACTTGTCAAAAAACATATGGCTTTTGTCGGCAATGAAAAAGGGTTCAACCGTTCACACCTGGGTCAAACGACTCTGCAGTAGACGCTATTTTTTGCTCCTTTTCCTGCTCTGACGAGCCACAGACACACTGTATGCAGACCTGACACACTGTGCATGAGGGTGAAAGAGTGAGCTGCAGCCCTGAAATCAATTTCAAAAACACACAATCACCGATCGAACCGTCTGACACGGAGGCTCTGACATTGACGAGACCACCGACCCGAGCGGCTGGCAGCTCACTCTCTCTCCACTGCGTCTGAGTGTGCACTCTGTAAGGGCATGTGATGACGTCACTTCTTGCAGTTGTGAGTTTCCAAGGTCCGAACAGAAAGACAAACTGCACTGACAGTGGAAAATGGGTCAATCGGCTTTTATTAGCGAGATTACCCATGTTTAACAAACCTGCTAATTTTGGAACTAGTTTTAGCTAGGTGTACCTAATAAACTGACAACTGAGTGTATATATCAACTAATACAATACAGATTTACATTATAAGTAAGTTTACGCTCGTACTCCCCAGAGGATGAATCCTAATGATTCTGGTGACTCTCTGATCTTTCCTGCAGCGCCATCTTTAGGACAAAACTTCCATTTGCACACAGCATCACTCAAATCGTACGGACTGTTTACTTGTTGCCTCTTTGTAGTGTAGTCCTATCTGTCGTGTGTACCTGCACAGGTGAGCACTGACCTGTCGATGCTGATGGCGCAGAGGTTGAAGATGGAGGCGGTGCACAGCATCACATCCATGGTCATCAGACCGTCACAGATGGTGGTGCTGAGGGTCCACACGCCGTCCTGAAACTGAGACGCACAGCGGCACGTTCAGAGCGGTCACTCATTTATACTGCTAACTTACTCAGGTACGGCAGTGCAATAATGAAGTACTTGTGCTTTACTTTATTATTTTCATTTTACGCTACGTTATTGTTCTTCTTCACTGTGGGTGGGAAATATTCTACTTTCAATTCCACTACAGCTGTTCTTACTTTACAGATACAAACAAAATATATGATACATTTATAATAATAGATAGATAGAAGAGATTCCTGACCTTATTATTTTATTTAAAAAAAACTAATGCGTTGGAGCTCCTTGTTATTTATCAGATGTATATGAGATGTTAACAGAAAATAAATGTGTTGTGTTGTGAGATGATTCATGGGAGAAGAAAAAAGTTCTGCTACACAAATGTAAATATTTCACTTATCTGTGAAATATTAGATCATTTTACATCAAGTTACATATTAAAAGTCACAAGCTAAAAAAGTTGGAAATCAATGGTTTAATATTTAGCTCCTCATAGGTAATTCATTGTTTGTTTGTTTGTTTTTCAAATAATATTGTGTTTTTTATGTGAAGCTTAAATCTGCAAATAAGTAGCAACAGATAAATGTAGTGGAGTAAAAAGCACAATATTTCCCAAGTATAAAGCAGAAAATAAACATACTCAAGTAAAGTACAAGTACCTCAAAACTTGAATAAACATACTTAGTTACTTACCACTACTAATAATACTAATGTGCTTATATTTAAGTAGGATTTTTACGTGTTCTGTATTTCAGTAAAATGTATGAGGTATTTTTTATTTACTCCGCTACATTTATCTGACATTGAAAAACATATAATCAACTCATTAAATATGACGCATTAGAATAACATGAAGTACCAAAGAGTGGAAAGGGCAGCACCAAACTGTACCAGTAATGATTATTGCAATATTATTGATAATAATAAAGCACCTACAGGGGACATTTTCCTGCATGAGACACTTTTCATTTTGCAGATAATATATTGACATTGTGGTTTAACGTCTTAATGTTTGTTCCAGCTCAGATCTGCAGAAGGTCCCTGAGGCTGAAACGCGTGTGAGCTGAGTCGTTTTCTTTTAATTAGTTTAGTTCCTGTGGTCAAATGTTTGTGGCGAAGATAAAAACAAAGACAGTTTTGATGACTGTGAGGAGGAAACAACAGGAAAAATACAATGAATGGAGAAATAAGCCGACAAATCTATTGTAGTTGTGGGGCCCCTTGGCTGACCTGTGGCCCCTGGAAGAGAGCCGACCTGAGGAGGAATGTACAGACTGTTGTTCTCTGAGCTCTGGGAGACAAAGACGGACTAATTTTACTAGGACAAGGATGAATGTTAATAGGACGAGTGTTCGTCAATCAAAAACAAACAGCTTTGTGTCCACTAAAGAAAACATAAAACATAAAAATAAACTTTTAAAAAACTTGAATTAATTAGTGAAACTGAGAGTTTAAAGAGTTAAAAGTTAAAGACTCAACTGTTATATAGAAAACAAATACAATCCAAGAACTAAATGATGTTAAATGTGAGATCTTTGTGTTTGTCTTCTCAGTGGCCTCACAGGAGGAGGCGGGGCTTCGCCTGGAGGTCACCTGGAGTTCAGAGCTGACACTTAAAGGCACAGTTCACTAAATTTAAAACACTTAACATTAACATGTTGTTCACCTGCAGGAGTTTAGAGACACTGAGGCCCAATGAGACAAACAAACAAACAAACAAACCAAAAAACAATAAATAGTTAATTCTATACATTAGAATACATGAAAAAATAAATTTAAAAAATGAATTAAATTAATAAACAAAAATCATTAAAATAAAAAATAGTAAAAAATATAAAATGTAAAGATAAATAAATACATGAAAATGTACACATTGAATTAATTAGACACATGTCAATAAAATATAAATAAATAATCTATGAATTCTATGAAATGTAAAGAAAATCTGAAAAAGCTGTATATAAGAAATAAATACATTAAAATAATTTTAAAAATGTAATAAATACATACATGCACATATACTTGTATAAGAATTATAATAATAGACAAATATAAGTCTCTTAGAAAAAAAGAATAAATAATATATAATAACAAATAAAATAAAATATGCATGTTAAATAAAAAAATATAAAATATGAGCAAATAATCTAAATGCACATATTTAAAATGATAAAACATTAAGAAAATATGAAAACACACATGACATATTATATACACAATCAAGCCCGATGACCTGAGAAAGTCCTGGACAAAACAAATTCCACATTCCACTCAAGGTCCACTTACTGACTTGTGCTGGAGCTTTTGAGCACATCACAGTTTTTGTTCAAATGTTCCATTAGTCTGAGCATGACTTGTCCTCCGTATTGACCAATCTGGATGTCTGCTGATGAAGACTGTGAGATACAGTCAAAAGCTCCAGAAGAAGCGAGTAAGTGGACCTTGATTGTGATATCTGTGTTTGCTGTTGTTCCCAATGTCAACAATGACCTTTCGAACTCGGCTCTCAACCCAACACAGACAAGAAGTTTTAGAGGCTCAAAGAAATAAAAGCATAATTTAAACTGAACAAATGCAATCTGGTGATGAAGACTGTGTGATGTGGTCAAAAGCTTTGAGATGGGGTAAGTGGACTTTAAAAGTTAATGTCATCTGATAGAGCTGTTTAGTTTCTACAAACTGAACTGAAGTTTTGGCTGTAAAAACACTGAACTGATCCTTTAAAACCAGTGTTTCCCAACCTGGGGGTCGAGTTATTTGCCCAACAGTTGCCAGTTAATATCGTATTAATTAATTAATTAATCAACTAATCATTTCAGCTCTACTTGTATATACTGTTGGTCAGGTTAATTTGTAAAGTAACTAAAGCTGTCAGACAAATATACAATGATTCCCTCTGAAATGTCAAAGTAAAAGCACCTTATTGAGCAAGTGACTAAATGTGTTACTTTCTACCACTGGCTGTTGTTGCTGTCCGGTGTTTTATGATTCATCCATACGAGCTGAAACATTTGGTGCAGGGGCTGAAATTAAGAAATCAGTCAGTCATTTAAGTCTTTTAAGAATCGACTTCCTCCCTCGTTGGTCAGAGATACTGGTTTCTGAGATTCAGGTGCATCAGGTTCAAGTTTTAATCCATCCTGAGTGTGAAACAGATCTTTATTCTAACTGTTATTTAGTTCCTGCACTTCTCTTACCCCCTGTTCTTATTGTTGCTATTTTCTCTCTTTAGTCTTTTTGTGTTTTTATTGTGTTAGTATTTTTATGTTTGCCCTGCTGCAAAAAGAATTCCCTCTTGTTGGACAAAGATGAACTGAACTGCGGGAACAAATATGTAGTTTGACTTTTAACCTGTTGTTTCCTCCTGTAACAGCAAAATGTTTTGTTTTATGAAGCCTTTGAAACCTCCTCAATGACATAGCAGAAATCCCTTAATTTAGACCTGAGAAGATTTTAAAAAGTCCTAACTGAAAGATAAGTCATGGATTTGTCAAATATTTCAAATTAATGTATAAACTAAGGGAAAAGTAAACGGCCCCAAGTTAAACCATCATGTTAATGAAGGGCGTTTTAAATAAAGGTGGTTTAAGTGGGTTGGTTCTTGCTCTTTCAAATGAACTGACTAATTAAGAGATCTATGGCTATCACCTTAATTCAATTAAGGGTTTTGGATTTAATTAAGGTTATTTTAAGGGGATGAAAAGTTCCATGAACAGACTTGGCTCTTGAAAACAGATCAGAAATTTAAATGTTGAAATCCTGCAGCTCTGAGGGACCCCTGAAACAGATGGGGGCCCCTGGATGTCTGGATGCAGCTGTGTGGTGGAATGGTCTCCAGAGTGTCTCACCTGTGCTCAGACCGACCTGTGACATCCCCACAGACAGTGCGGTGTGTTCCGGTGGGTGAACTCACCTCTGAGAAGACGAAGAGCGGCAGCACGAGCACCGCGAGCATCAGATCCGCCACCGCCAGACTGACGATGAAGTAGTTAGTGGTGGTCTTCAGCGCCTTCTCGGTGAACACGCTCAGACACACCAGCAGGTTCCCGCAGATGATCACCACTATCAGCAGCACCCCGAACACCAGGGCCGGCCAGTTGTATCGCGTCGCCGCGGCCGAGTCTGGGAGCGGCGCCTCCGCCTCCGCCGCCACGCTCAGGTTGGCTGCCATCTCCGCCGCGGCTCCTCCGCTCCGTCCCGGTCCGAGCCACAGCAACGCGGCCACCGGGCTCTCATGTATACCGAGCCGGACTCTGGTCCTCACACTGTGGTCTCATCATAGTGCCATGGAGACTCGACTCAAGACTCTACCGGACTCTACTGTGCTGCTCCAGAGCGCTCCGGTGCGCACTTTACGCAAAAACTCGCGTAAAACAGAATGGAAGCAGGTGAAATTTGATCCTATTTACACAGTGAAACACATTAAAACGTCAAATCATATAAATGTAATCGATAGTGATAAAGTTCCGTCTGTTTTCTTGAGAAAAAGCATTTTGTAGCGTGAAGAAACTCAGAGGAAGTTTGATCAAAGACGCGTTAAAATCCTCAAATTAGGCTACCTCTTAAAATAACGTTGAGAAAATCCACATCTCACTTAGAAGCCCATGTTGAAGAGTGAAGACCATCTGAAGTGGTTTGCGGTCTGACGCGGTTCACACATCGGGCTGCGGGTGTCTTCAACTCCGGTGCGTTCACCTGCAGCCTGCTAAAGGCCACCGGGGCCAAATTAGCGGATTAAAGCCGCTTAGAAGCTGCGCTTTACGGTGTCCTTCAGTCCTTGAGCTCCTGCAGGAGACACAGCTCATCCATCCATCTGTCTGTGTCTGTCTGTCTGTGTGAGTGTGTGTGTGTGTGTGTGTGTGTGTGTGTGTGTGTGAGAGAGAGAGAGAGAGAGAGAGAGAGAGAGCGTCCGCTGCAAAAAACATCCACAACTTCAACAGTAAATTGAAACTGAAGGGGACAGTAAATACGTCACAGAGGCAAATTAACAAGCAGAGAAATAGTCATTATAAATAATATAAAAACAATATAGCTGTAAATACAAACTCATATGTCTCATATTATTACTTTCATTCATGTGTAAGCGTCACTTTAATGTTGTGGCAGGTAAAGGAGGGGCTAATGCTGGGTATCTTAATATTTGATAACACATAATAATTTATTTATTGATGTATGTTTGTATTAATAACCCGAATGTGTACAGCAACCAAAGTTATGAAATAAATAAATAAAAATAATAATAATAATAAAAAAAATGAAGGTCCTTTTTAAGTAGTCACAGGTTTTTACATCTTAAAAAACATTAAACATTGCAGATAAATCATTATTCCCTTAATATATGATAATGCATGAAGTTATACATTAATTATCTTCTTAAAAATCCCATTAAAATATCTTAAATACATTACTGATGTATTGTATTGAAGGAATTTCAAGGTAAAAATGAAGAGATACAGTTTCTTGTTCATAAAATAAAAATAATCCATTAATTAATAGATTGAGCTTCATGTGTATGATATGATATTATGAGGTTTGGAAATTGATCTTTTTTTCAGGGTTTAGTTTTTGCCTTTCTATTTTAACAGACATGATGATCTTGTTTCATGGTATAAAATTAAACATAATGTCTTATTTACACGTTTATTTATAAAAAGCAAACAAACAGATTAATGCTACAGGTGAAACTTGAACCGTAGATAAACCAGATGTTACATCAGAAGGTCATTATACATCATTTTAATTACGTATCTCAAGAATTTAGCCTGATAGATCTTATAAAACTTGTGATCTCCACCAGAATTTAGAATAAAGTTTTAAACCAACGTGTCTGAGGTGTTAAAGAGGTCAGTTTCAAAATAAAAGCCCTCACAGAGATTTGGAGGTTAAAACATGTTGTGGGACATTTTTTGCAGTGTATAGTGAAGGACTGAGGGGTAAAACTAAGCAGAAAGGAGGAATCCCCCCCCCCCCACCAGAAAGCAAGCTGCTGGAATCCTCTGCTGCTGTTTAGTCTCAACATCTGGATTCATTTAAACCAAGAGAACATACATCAGTGAACCTTAGAACCTAAATGAAATTATTACCTGTTTTGTTCAGTTAATCCTCCATCAGGGCAATAAAACAAACAAGTAACAACTAAATAAATATTTTTGTTCAAACTGAATATCTTATTTAGTATGTGATGTCTACGCTGTTACTGAGGTTTTGCTATTCAGTTGCTGGTGTTTACGAGAGCTTGGTAAGTTGCTAAGTAAGATTGTAGCCATTGTGCTCCCAGGTGGCTGCTCAATGGTTGCTAAGGTGTAACTAACGGATACAAGTGTGTTTGAGGTGAATTTTACAAGTTCTTTTGTGTTAATATATGACTGGAGTGGTTGCTAGGTGGTTGCTATGGTGTAGCTATGTACAGCTGTGGTGGTTGCTACGTGGTTGCTGTGGTGTCATGTGTAAGTCTGGGGGTGGCTGCAGAGTGGTTGCTATGTTGGAATGGATTGAGTGGCTGCGATGCTGTTAATACATGGCAGAAGTGGTTGCTGAGTGGTTGCTATGGTGTGAATAGCTGGGGGTGGTTGCTATGGTGTATGTATATGACTGGAGTGGTTACTATGGTGCTGATCATGGCTGTGGTGGTTCTATGGAGTTGATACCTGACTGGTGTGGTTGCTATTGTGTTGGTACATACTGTATCTGTGGAAGCTGCAAAGTTGGTGCTTTGGTGTCAGTATATATAGGATGGTTGCTAAAGGATTGTTATTATGTTGATATATGGTTAGAGTTGTTACTGAATGGTTGCTATGGTGTTGAGTGATTTTTCTGGGTTCTTGCCACATTGCTACCAGGCAGTTTCTATGGCGTCACATGCTGGCGACCGACCAGTCCGACAGGCTGCAGGTCTCCTCTGCTCTGTGTTTCATGTCGTTTGATGTGATTATCTCATATCCAGAGTGTTCGCCAGGACGTCAGAGCTCAGCAGCTGCGTTCACTCAGTCAGTCAGAAATCCTTGCCTCCGGTCAGACTGAACATCTGAACATCAGTCTGCTTCTCAGGAATTGTGAGCTGACATCAAATGAAATGATTCAGTCACATGACCTCACCTGTTTTCAGGTGACACTGTTTGTTTTCAGCCCAGTGCTTTTCAAATGTAAGTCTTAAAGTCCACATCATTTCACTGTTCAAACTTAGATAATCTATATAAATGATTGAATTGGAGTAGTTCATTTATTTAAGGATGTTTTTCATGTTGATTTTCTGCTTCAGGAACGAGTCATCGCTCTAAAAAATGTTTGGAAGAGTTCAGTGAGATGTTACAAAAATGTAAATATAAGAACACAACAGAGTTTTATTTCTATTATTTCACTTTAGAACTGAATCCACCATGGTGTCTTTAAATGGAACTGTTTTTAGTCAAAAATTTTGAATTAAATTGAGAATTCATTCTGACATTTAATCAACGAGAATCTAACTGAACAGTTACATTAAAATAATAGAAATTGGGATGTTTTGTGAGTTTGAGTTTGTTTGGTGGGATGGGGTGGAGAAATTTGGACTCGTGATCTTAGTATTTCTAAAATCCTGACTGGATTGAGCCGTGCTGTGAAGGGCATTAAATTTGACTTTGATTTTCAGTTTTTAAGGAATAAAACGTGATGAAATAGTCAGTATAAATGTCAGATTTTTCCATCACATTCCTGTTCAAAGCACAGTTAATGAGCCACAATTTTCCTTCACAGATGTACTTCTCTTTTAGTCCCATTAATCTGTACATGGAAGAATATTTTCTGACTGCTTTCACATCTATCACTGTCATTTTCCCACTGCCGCTGCCCTTCAGTTTGCTTCAGGATCCAACAGATGCTTCGACATTCTCCTCCTCCTCCTCCTCCTCCTCGTCATCACATCCCTCCATCCTGACCTTCCTGCCTGTGGCTGAGAGCAGAAGGAGCAGAGGATCATCACTGTCATGATATTCTGACTTTTTATCAACAGATACTGTAAGCAGCTGCAACATGAGCACGATTGTTCTTGTTTTTTTCCACAGTAATATCTCACTGATCTTTGACCTGGTTCTCCCCACAACCTGAGCATGAAGGAACCTTTAGTTCAAGAGGTTCCTCTTGTGTTTCAGCTTTATTTTATGATGTTTAAAGTACGTGTCATTTAAAATTCAACAGCAGGACAAGTTTACGTTCTGAGTCAGCGGAGGGAGAAGTGATACTGATGTTGCTGATTGTTTGCTCTGTGGTCTACTCTGAATCCAGGCCTCTGCTGGAGCCGCCACAAACTGGTCAGTGATTGAATCACTTTATAGTTTGTGCGGCGTTGTGATTCTTTATTTTTCTATAATCTGCTTTGATGGGTTTAATCTTTCCTGCGCCGGTTGTTTGTGTTTTGAATGTCTGCGACGTCCGCTGACTCCAGCCTCTTCGTCACAAATACTAATGAGGACTCGGACTCTCATCATCTCACTCTGGTCTGAAGGTGATGAGGTGATTTTTAATCAGAGGTCCTGTCATCTGCAGATGCTGATAGATGAGCTGAGGAGCGACGTCATCCAAACCTCAAGGGATGACGGAGGAGCAGCGGTGGAAACACAGCACTATTAATAATTAACTTCTAATTTAATTCAGTTTACCCTTCAGCAGCTGTGTGGACAGTGATCCAGTCTGATGCTGCGTCCGTGTGAAAAACAACTGTACACGAGACGCAATGGCATTCACTGATCTGTGTAAAGATTTAGTTCAACAATTTGGTCTCAAGGGAACATCTGGGGTCAGTGCGTTGCCCCTCCACCTACCAGACAAGTTGCAGGAAATATGGTCACAATCTCCCCGTCCTGAGTTACAGCATGACAGCAGAGGGTTTTTACAGAACATTATGATGTCACACTGACATTGACCTTTTTGACCATTTGGATCCAAATATCATTAGTTCATTTTATCCTTATAGAATATAGACGTTGTTGAGTTAAATTGTGTCATAATCAGTGAATGAATTTGTGAGTTATGGCCAAAAAGTGAGGTCAAAGTAACCTTTGACCTTTGACCACCAAATTCTGCCCTCGCTGTCAACGTGCAGAGACATAAAATAAACTTTAGAAGTAATGAATCTTCAGTGAGAACTAAAAACCTCTTAAGGTCCTCTAAAAACCTCCACACTGACCCATGGACCTCCGTAAAGACCACCGACCACCTCAAGGATAACTTGAATCTCCTACGGGACTCACATCCAACCTCCTCAAGGACCCAGGAGAAACCTCTACAAGGACCTACTGGAACACACCTTAAGGACCGCTGTAAGGATTCACAGAACCTTCACAAGGACCACCACAACTTCCTCTTGGTTGCTGATACTCCCGACGCCCATAAAAGTTACGAAGGCAGGATGAAAAACAATCAAAAACAATCACATCTAAAAGTTAGTGCAGTGATTATTAACAGACTGAATTAGCTCAGGAGATTTCCTTCAGGCAGCTGAGGCTGTTCCAGCAGCAGAGATGAAGCTTCCTGCAGCCTCATTGTGTTTGTGCTCAGGAGGCGGAGCTGATGATGGCAGCGTTCATCACAAACCTCACTCGGTATAATGAAAACAAACACTCAGCCTATATAACGCTGTCAGAAAAAGGCTGCTTCATTTCACTGAACATGTTTTAATTTGCGGTAGCAGAGACAGGGTTGATGCCTTCTGATGATTCAGCTCGGCCTCCCTCTGTTTT